CAACACTAGACGATTCATTTGGCAAACACTAAATGATCCATTTATCACCAACATTTAGACGATCATTTGACATTCAATGACCATAAGATGATCTAAGTTGTTTTATTTTTATTTCAGGAGCATACCAGCAGTTATTGAATATTACAGTTATATCTTCCACTTCCAGTGTCTAGCTGTTGGACCTTTTTGTTTTTATAAAGATTACATTGATTTTATTGAAGGGAAACATGTGATTCCATTCACCAAAAAGACTGATGATGGAAAAGAAATTGTTATTTATAAAGAACCCCCAGTTATGGTAATTTACTCTTAAGTTTGAAAGAGTAAGCTTTGTAATCAAACAATGAGCATGGTACATGTAGATTGGTTAGTGTGTTTGTCCAATGCAGCATGAGGGATGTTGTAGAAGTGTAGTCAGTCATTTGATATACATGTATGTTGTAATAGTGTAGTCAGTCATATGATATATGTTGTAGAATTGGTCAGTCATGTGTTATATGTTGTAATAGTGTAGTCAGTCAATTCATATATACTATAATAGTGTAGTCAGTCAATTGATATATGTTGTAATAGTGTGGTCAATCATTTGATGTATGTTGTAATAGTGTAGTCAGTCATGTGTTATATGTTGTAATGGTGTAGTCAGTCATTTGATATATGTTGTAATAGTGTAGTCAGTCATTTGATATGTTATAATAGTGTAGTCAGTCATTTGATATATGTTGTAATAGTGTAGTCAGTCATTTGATATATGTTGTAATAGTGTAGTCAGTCATTTGATATATGTTGTAATAGTGTAGTCAGTCAATTGATATATGTTGTAATAGTGTAGTCAGTCATATGATACATGTTGTCATTATGTAGTCAGTCATTTGATATATTTTGTGATAGTGTATTCAGTCATTTGATTTATGTTATAATAGTGTAGTCAGTCAATTGATATATGTTGTAATAGTGTAGTCAGTCAATTCATATATACTGTAATAGTGTAGTCAGTCATTTGATATATGTTGTAATAGTGTGGTCAATCATTTGATGTATGTTGTAATAGTGTAGTCAGTCATGTGTTATATGTTGTAATAGTGTAGTCAGTCATTTGATGTATGTTGTAATAGTGTAGTCAGTCATTTGATATATGTTGTAATAGTGTAGTCAGTCATTTGATATGTTATAATAGTGTAGTCAGTCATTTGATATATGTTGTAATAGTGTAGTCAGTCATTTGATATATGTTGTAATAGTGTAGTCAGTCATTTGATATGTTGTAATAGTGTAGTCAATCATTTGATATATGTTGTAATAGTGTAGTCAGTCAATTGATATATGTTGTAATAGTGTAGTCAGTCAATTGATATATGTTGTAATAGTGTAGTCAGTCATATGATATATGTTGTAATTATGTAGTCAGTCATTTGATATATTTTGTAGAATTGTTCAGTCAATTGATATATGTTGTGATAGTGTATTCAGTCATTTGATTTATGTTATAATAGTGTAGTCAGTCAATTGATATATGTTGTAATAGTGTAGTCAGTCATATGATACATGTTGTAATTATGTAGTCAGTCATTTGATATATTTTGTAGAATTGTTCAGTCAATTGATATATGTTGTGATAGTGTATTCAGTCATTTGATTTATGTTATAATAGTGTAGTCAGTCAATTGATATATGTTGTAAT